TGTTATTTATATTTGGAAGAATTTACATTGTATTCTTTCCTATATCTCTAGACCAGATCTATTCTTATATGTTAATACTGGGGCAGAATACAAAATAAAATATGGATCGTAATATTAACAATGGAAAGGCGGAAAACAGAATTGCATAGAATGTGTGAATTAGCACATGTGTGATTGCAGTGTTACTGAATGAGCATTTTAAATTGATCTGCTCTTTGTGTTGATGCTGTTACTTTTAATACAGTAATAAAATGATCTACAAAGAGCCAACACTTTATATTTGTAAGGCTGAGAACCCTGCAGAATGAAATACACTGAAGATACTGAAGAACAAACAGGTTGGTGGCAATTGTCTAATTTCCACTGTTACATCAGGGTTCACTTATATGTCCACATCGCTCTGCTTTTTACGAGTTACTAAAAATGAACCATTTTTACTTTTATTTGCAGTGTTGATTGAAGAAAATGAGAATGAAGAACTGAGTGAAGTTAAGGAGAAAACTCATATTAAAACTGGAAAAAAACCTTTCAGTTCCTCTCAAATCAAACAGAAAGATTTAAAGAAAAGAAGAGCCAAGAAATATTTCACCTGCACTCAGTGTGGAAAGAGTTTATCACACAATACAAGTCTTGAGCGTCACATAAAAGTTCATACAGGAGAGAAACCATTCACTTGTGATCAGTGCGGGAAGAGTTTCGCACTAAAAGGACTACTTATAGTACATATGAGAGTTCATACTGGAGAGAAACCATTCACTTGTGATCAGTGCGGGAAGAGTTTCGCACAATCATCAAACCTTAAGATACACATCAACATCCACACTGGAGAGAAACTATTCACTTGTGATCAGTGCGGGAAGAGTTTCGCACAATTAGCACATCTTAATGCACACATAAATGTTCACACTAGAGAGAAACTGTATGCATGTGATCAATGTGACAAAGTGTTTTTGAGATCTTCACACCTGAAGCAGCACCTGAGAGTTCATACAAAGGAGAAGCCACATTCATGTTATTTGTGTGGAAAGAGTTTTTCACGTCTACAACATTTGAAAGTACATCAGAAAATACATACTGCTGTGAGACAGTACATGTGCTTTGAGTGTGAAAAGGCTTTTACTTCAGTGAGCAGTTTAAAACTGCACAAGAAGATTCACACTGGAGAGAAACCTTTTAAGTGTTCACACTGTGACAAGAGATTCAGTCGGTTAGGAAATCTGAAAACACATGAGAGGATTTACACTGGCGAGAAACCGTACATCTTCTCTACACAGTCATACAAAAAACATTCACAGTAAGTAGATCATCTTCAGATCCAGCACTTTCAGATCTGATGCGTCCTCACCAAATGTGACACAATAATGCATCAAACAATAAAATATAATCTGGATAAATCTGTCATTACAAGCGACATGTCAAAGAAACATTATCTAAAGTTTCACAGTGAATAAAGTTAATCTTCATCTTCAAAACCTGCAGATTCAACTGTGAGATTCAGATCAACTCTATGATGGAGAGAAGAGGCTGTAACACTTAAAGAGAGCTGAGATTTATTTTTAACCTTTTTATTCACTGTTGTTCTTAAAATTACTATTCTTCCACTTACGCTGTACTTAGGAGCACATATGCAAGATATACTGTCATGTTGCTTTGTAATTGATCTGTTTTGCTTTTTTTGTAAAAAGGGATCTAAATGGATTTAATGGGCCCTTTTTTATTAAAGAAAAAAAGAAGAATACCGTTAAAGAACCGGACTGATGTGCAGTATCATAAGAATAGTAATACCGTTTAAACCTTAACGATACCGATACTTGTAATAAATTTCTTTACTTTTTATATTCTATCAGCAACTTTTATTGTCTGCTAATTGTATTTGCATATGGAAAATGTTTGCTTATTGGGCTTTCTGTTTTAAATTTCTCAATAAAGCTTTTGAATTGAATTGAATGTCTTTATTGTCATTGTATTTTTCTGCATCCAATCAAACTAGGAGCACTGTTTCTTACTGGTGTTAGAAAACAAACATACAGTATAACCACAGACAATAAATAAGACTTTAGACTGTACAGTACAATTATAAAAGTATATACAAGTGACTGAATCATAAAATTGCACATTGAGCAATCTGAGTAAAGTGAGCATTGACAGTACTGCACATTGACCTCTACACTGATACGAAGCAGTAAGTATATGCAAAAATTACAAACTGAAATGGGTTAAGTGGCAGTAGTTATAAGTGACAAGATATAGTCTTGCACATTGACACGCCACATTTAGTGCATTTGTTAAGGTCCTGATAAATAAAGTGACCATGTGATCGTATTGCTCATCGACATTCTGCATATTGTATAAAAACAGCATTATAGACAGAAAAAAGAGACTGTAGTTGAATAACTTGAATAGAAATAGTATTTTAACATTACCTCATAAATGCACTAAGGCAAAGGTCAAAGTCCTGACAGCAACTGGAATGAAACTGTCCTGTAAGCGAGTGCTTCTTGTACTTAAGGATCTGTGAGATGCAGTACACTAGAGATGCAGTGCACTAGAGGTGCTGTACACTAGAGGTGCAGTACACTAGAGATGCAGCGCACTAGAGATGCAGTACACTAGAGATGCAGCACACTAGATATGCAGTACAGCAGCACACTTTCGATGGTGGAGCAGTAAAAGTACACCAGCAGCTCAGACTCCAAGCTGTTTTTCCTGATCACTCTGAGGAAGTTTTGATTGTTGCTGAGGTGTAACAGACTAATAGAGCTCATCGGATACGAGACTCCAGGAGTTTGAAGGTGTGGACTCTTTCCACTCAGTCTGTTGATGTAGAGTAGATCTGCTGAAGTCCAGAATGAGCTCTTTTGTTTTGGAGGTGTTGTTATCAGAGCAGCACAGCTCTAGTTTCTGGACTTCATCTCTGTAGCTGAGTCATGCTCTCCTGAGATAAGTCCAATCACTGTAGTATGGTCTGCAGATCTGACGATGAACGAGTGCGAGTACAGGAGTAGAGTAGAGGACTCAATACTGAACGAGTGCGAGTACAGGAGTAAAGTAGAGGACTCAATACACGAGCCAGTGCTGAGCGTGATGCTGGAGGAGAGCCGTTTGTGGCTCTTAGTGAGGAAGACTTTATCCAGGAGCAGATGAAGGAGAGAGGCTGAGTTCAGTTCATTTGCTAGGATGGTATTGAACACTGAGCTATAATCAGTGCCGGCCTGTCCAACAGGCGGTCGTCTGGGGCCCCGTCTTAAGGGTTAAGGTTGTCAATTAAATTTCAAGATGTGTTCGACTTGAAGCGGCGCTGTGTGGACAGATCAGTGTTTGACATTGAAGTACCGCGACTCCGCGAGAGCTATATACTAATGGACAGCTCTGCATGCTTTTCCTATCCTATTGCAGTACTTTGATGTCAAACACCGATCGATCTGCAGCACCCCTTTAAGTCGAACACACATACAGATGACACACCAGGGCTGTACAGTGCATTTAAAAAAAACATTTAATGACGTTTTTGCTCCAAATTAATTTCATAACATCAGTCGAGTGTTTGAAATAGCTTCCTTTTGTGATCTGACGTGGTTTCATATCACAGAATGAGGAAAATCATTGTATAATATATTCTATACAGTGATAAAGGCTATGTCGATTAGCATTGCTTTATAAATATACATTATGCATATAAAAAAATACCCCAGATGGCTTAAAGAACAGAGATACACCATTTAGTCACAATCGTATGTTTATTGTCTTCATTCTTCATCAGTCAAAACGTCCTATCTGCGTTTTATTCAGCTACTGCAGCGATAGCATATGCCTTCGTCCATATTAGGGATTTCCTCCAAGGTGATTTTTGTGAGTATTTCATTTAATATTTTTTCACTTATGGTTTTACTGCACGAGCGCGCAAAAATTAAGAAATTACTGTTAATGATTTTTAATTATAAGTGACATTACATGTGGCCAAGTATGGTTACCCATACTAGGAATTAGTGCTCTGCGTTTAACCCATCCTAAGTGCACACACACAGCAGTGAACACACACAAACACACCGTGAACACACACCCGGAGCAGTGGGCAGCCATTTATGCTGCGGCGCCCGGGGAGCAGTTGGGCTTTATAATCTTTTATAATCTTTATAAAATACTTTATAATCATTTATAATAAATCCTTAGACCTTTCTAAACAATTTTAGTTATAGGCCTCCTGCATGTTACAGTTTTCTTCAACTGCTTACATTTTCAAAACTTTGCCTCTTTTTTTTCAAAACTTTACACACAAATCCAAGAATTGTACACACAAAATGCAAAATGCCTGTCTTTCAAAATGAAGCACTGCATTCAAAATATCACAAACACATCTCAAAAGCAAACATTTGCAAACACCTTTGCCATGACATTAATTCCTGTTAGATTGGTATATTGCATGTGTTGTTTGTACGTTTCCCTATTAGATTAGCTGAGTTACCACTCGTTATTTGTATTAGTCAAGCCCTAAGCACTGATATTCAGGTATATGGATGTATCTTTGGTTTAATCTATTCTAAATGTTTCTTGCTTGGTATCAATATTATCTGCTCTTTATTCCTCAAACAATGATGTATCATAAATATTTCCCTGTTGAGCTGATTTACTACACATAGATAATTGTGTGTTGTGTTTTGCAAAAGAGTCAAAGGCTGAGATTAGTGTATGATTTTGCATATTTGGTGTGTGGTTCTGCTGTTTGAGTGTCAGGTTTCAGAAATTGTGTGACAAATAAAGATTGTGTGTGTAAGCAGTTGAAAAAAACTGTAACAGGTCATGCTGCAGTTTTCTGTAAAATATATTAATAATAATCATTATCAATAATTATTTGTTTAATGTTTTATTTAGTTATAACTATAATCAGAATTATTAGTAGTCATATTGATACATAATTATTAAAAAAAAAAATTGGGCCAAATTGTGCAGATCTACAAACAGGCACAGCAAACTTAGTGTTCTATATCATTTCTGGCAAATAAAGAAAACGTTGATCTGAAAACTTGTCTAGTTACAGTTCAGATTTTGTTGGTTCAGATTTTGTGAGCTTTTATGCGTTCGTGCGATTGTTTCTATGTTTGTAGTGAGAACTGTTGCTGAATGTCAAGTTAAAAAAGTGTGAGATCTGTGAGGGGAATGGATCTCAAGTGTTGCTGCTGCTATTTAATTTGATCTTTGGCAGATCAAATCCGTTAGTTTGTTAAAATATACTGAAACAGAGACTGCTAACGTTACATTGAGCCTATAATGAGCCGCGTGAGACATCCATACATAAATGGGGAAATATGCGAAATATTAATCAAATGTGACACTGAAATCATTTAATTATTGCTTTGTGGTGCTCTTATTTGAAGGTCCCACATGAAAAAATACTATTGTAATTTATAGTAAATACTATAGTGTTTTTTTAACCATATTAAAGTGCATTATATGCTGTATAGTATTTACAGCACTGTTAATGTATGCTACAGCATACAGTAGTATTAACTATAGTGAACTGATAAACTGTAATAAATACTGTAGTATACTTTAGTTTTTACTACAGTAAACTGTATGTATTGCAGTATAATATACCCTATAATTGTAAAAAGCTTAGTACAGTATTGGGTAAAGTAATGTGTTTATATTTCTATAGTTGTTACATTACCACATAAACTATAGAATTACAACAATAACACAATAACCACTATAGCATGGTTCAAAAACACTATAGTGTTTACTATAAATTACTATAGTATTTTTTCATGTGGGATGTTTTATGGTCATTGTTTGTTTCTGTACATACAAGACTTTTACATGTTAACAATCTAATTACTTCACTGCAATTAATTTAGTTATTAGAAAATCAAACTATTTAGATTAGACATTCATATTATGGTGCTTTACGGCAGTTATTTACTTTAGCGTTTGTTTTTGTATTATTTATGTTTTATACATATTGTGAGAACTAGGCTTTTATCATATATCCTGACTCAAATAATGTGTTTCTATCAGCAAACACTGAGAATAAAGTGAGATGATCTGCTGATGATCGCATTATATGCTGTATAGTATTTACAGCACTGTTAATGTATGCTACAGCATACAGTAGTATTAACTATAGTGAACTGATAAACTGTAATAAATACTGTAGTATACTTTAGTTTTTACTACAGTAAACTGTATGTATTGCAGTATAATATACCCTATAATTGTAAAAAGCTTAGTACAGTATTGGGTAAAGTAATGTGTTTATATTTCTATAGTTGTTACATTACCACATAAACTATAGAATTACAACAATAACACAATAACCACTATAGCATGGTTCAAAAACACTATAGTGTTTACTATAAATTACTATAGTATTTTTTCATGTGGGATGTTTTATGGTCATTGTTTGTTTCTGTACATACAAGACTTTTACATGTTAACAATCTAATTACTTCACTGCAATTAATTTAGTTATTAGAAAATCAAACTATTTAGATTAGACATTCATATTATGGTGCTTTACGGCAGTTATTTACTTTAGCGTTTGTTTTTGTATTATTTATGTTTTATACATATTGTGAGAACTAGGCTTTTATCATATATCCTGACTCAAATAATGTGTTTCTAACAGCAAACACTGAGAATAAAGTGAGATGATCTGCTGATGATCTGAATGTCTTGTTTGAATGAGTGTTGATCGTCTGAGGCTCATCAATATTAACAGAGCTGCTGAAAAGACTCTTTATTTCATGTCAATAGTTCCTGTTTTCACCTCATTTATTATGCTGATGGCTTCAATGAAATGAGCTTTAAGTGGCAAATTACAGGAGATGTTGTGCTGTGAAATTATTATTATTTTATTTTTTTTGGCAGATCAGCTCTTCCTCACATGCTGCAATTCACCTTTAGTGAAGCTCCTCCCACAGTAATCACATCATCAGTGAAGCT